GCAGCTAGATCTTGGTATTTTACTGTTGAAATTGTTAAATGTAAGCATAAATTATATTTTAATAATTTCTTCTCATGCACTTCTCACCCATGGAAATCTCTTCCAGCTTCTTGTTTTCCTGTCAACCATGATCTTCAAAAATTTAAATGCAATATTGTCATCATCTGTCTCCTTGAAACATGTTCTTTTTATTGTCCTTTCTTCTCAGCAATGTTTTCTCAGTTTCTTTCACTCTCAGTAATATCTTGCATCTTAGTAACTTTATTGCCTTACATAGGGTGGAATGATTAAAAAAACATCAGAAAAATATCCTATAAATTTTAAAGATTAATATTGACTTTCTCTTATTAAGATACATAAAATCAATAAATGGATTATTACTCTTTGTTTTTGCATTAATCTTTTGAAGCATTAAGTTGCTTATTGTTATACTCTGTTTCAAATTAGATGTCTTTCTGATTCACTTTACATGCTGGCCAGTTGTGAACATTAAGAAAGCAAAAATAAAAGTAAAAAAGTTGTTCTCTGCACAGGGGCTCCAAGTGATATCCAACTTAGAAACAAAAAACTACATATATATAAAAGGAACCAATCACAAATGTTACCACCAAAGAAGAAAAACATAAAAAAGATGTGTACATTTGTTTCTATTCTCTACATACAATGTGTGAAAGCACATGTGATATCCTGACTTCGTCAGTTGCCAACCAGGGGAAGTAACACAGTTTCAGTGGCTCAGGTGGTACTGCGACCCCTGACACCACCAACATCTTTTGCCACTGGACAGGGTATTGTTTTTGTATACATGGCAGTCTCTTGCAATTTCTTTTTACAACTGCAACTGAAATTTTCCACATTGTGTTAAAATACACAACACGCTCATAGCGACTGTTATTAATGATGTAGAATGGAAAGTAAATAGATGCGTTTCATGTCGGAAGTAGCATTGTGTTGTGAACATGGTTTTATTTAACTTTATTTATTTTGGGTCTTGACCAGATCCAAATCAATGCCTGTTGAGCTATGGTCTAGAGATGATGTGAAGCACACTTTAGGTTCCAACTATTGATGCCCACCTTCAAAAGGAAGGAAATGATTGACCATCCTGCTCTTAAGGTACCATTAATTCTACTAGGAGGACACACTTCTTTGAATTGGGCCATGCTACAATGTCAGGGCATGCATCTGTCTGAATGATGTGTACTGGAAATTGCAGAGGTGTTCTAAGATCAATTTATTCAATCACCCTGTCTTGGTTACCCTTTGGACCCTGTTTGGAGAAAAACTGATTGCTCATGCTTCCCAGGCCAGCTTGATTGGTTTGAGTGGCTTTTGGTGCCAATTTTGATATCTGGCCATAACCTGCAGACATATTCATCAGCCGAGTACCTCATCATCATGTGAAGGCATACCTTCCCAAGGAGATGAGAAGTTGCAGGTTTCCAGCATTGATATAAAATCCCACTGTAGAGAAGTAAGGGGAAACTCTAAACCACTTATGCAAGTACTTTTTGATACACTGCTGCATTTGCTGGATGCAAGACAGAGTTAATATCACAGGGGCTTTCAGTTTGCTGGAGAGATAAGTGAATCTTCCTGATAGTCTCTGAGTAACTATAGGATCTGGTTTTTCTTGGTTAACATCATTCTCACCCATGTGAAGACCTTATGGTAGCACAGCAGCAGTTCATCAGCACCAATCTTAGATGGGACCAGAATGGTGATGTCATCCATGAACACTCTGGAAGGAGGAAGGACCATTTATTCCTTAGTCATCACTCCCTTTACTGTGTCTGCTGCACCCTATAATATGAGTTCCATGGTCATAATGAAAAGAAGTGGTGAAATCACACACCCTATCATGATGCTGACCTCGAGGGCTTGCCACTTGGTGGTGTAGTTACCAATGGTGAACTCCATAAACACTGCTCTGAAATATTTCATCATCATTTTCCCAACTTTGCTAGGGAAATTGAAAAATTCAAGGGACATTCAAATTACCTCATGAGAAACTGATCCATATGCATTCACAAGATCAAGCCAAATCACATGAAGCTCAGTTTGGCTGATAAGATTGAGTTCTAAACCATGTGTGAATGCTTCAGACAGCCGGGGAAGCCAGGTATCCCAGCCTTCTGGACAGCTGTGTTTATGTAATGGTTACCTAGCAGGAAGTCCATCATATGACGAGCAATGACTCCAAAATATATTTTCCCCTTTACATTCAAGAGGGAGATGGGGCAGAAATTTGCAATGCCTTTTGATGTCCAAATGCCATCTGCCAGGCAACATTCTTATGGTACAATACTTTGTTTCCATGCCCACTGGAGGAGGATGGTGAGTTGCTTGAGGACATTTCGACAATTCTTTTATAACTTGTAGGATATTCCATTTATTCTAGGTACACCACTAGCATTGGATTTGCAGACAAATTCCCAAAATTCTTTCAGCTTTAGTCTGCTGTCATTCGACAGTCTAGAAGGACAATGACCTGGACCCTTAGCAATGAAGCTGGGAAGAAGGAAAATTTAGAAATATTTTTCCCTAAAAGTATTTTAAGTTGCAAATCAAACTAAATAGTTATTTTTTTTAAAACAAGTGTAAATAACTTCTAGTATAGACTCCACTAAAATGTTTTGGAT